CACAATACGCACAAAGGAAAATCGACCAAGTTTACATATAAAATCATAAAATACATACAAAACAAAGTACCCAAAATACTGATACCTTTTAACATTAAAAAGTAATTAAATTAGTAGAGTAGGAAGCAAATAAATAAAAATAGCTGAAATTTTGCTTTTAGCCGCCTAATTAGGCCTAATAATTTCATTTAAATCATTCGTTGTTTCTTAAATTTATTTAAAAAAAACTGGAATTTCATTTTAAAATAAGCCACAAAACAAAATTTAAAAACAATGTCTATTTTTTTCTTGCTTTTATTGTTGTATGTAGGTATCACTTTCATATTTTTAGAGGTTCATCAACTTGTGTTTTACGTTTTAGTAATAGTACTTTCAAGAATCATGCAGCAGTATATTAAGAGAAAAAAAGACATACAGCAGACTAAATAATATCAGATAATAGCATGCAAAATATTAGCAATTAATTGAGTTTTAGTACGTTTTCATATCTGCAAATCAAGCATCTGGCTTGCTAGTCTGCCTGCAAATCGTGATTTTCTAATGCAGGCTGAGGTTGGTTGTGGTACCATTAATCAAAGGAAACGAAATTATTATGCAAGGAATTTAACCTGCAATCTATACCAGATTAGATTCTATATTGCGACCCAGGTGATTTTAATTTATAGTGCACTTTGTTATTAGTATTGCCGATATGAGAGGAGATTTATACGTTCTAGCACATTCGCTAATTAAAGTATTCAAAGAACCAACGAAAGTGGTTCTACTGTGTTGTACGTAAGAACTGTAAAAATAAAGATGTCTATTTGCGTCTTTAAAGAGTGTGTGTTTCATGTTTAATGTCGTTTACAAGTATTATCTTTTCAAGTATATTAAGACTCTATATCATATAAAACCTCGTATATTTAGCGGATGTTCAGCAAATAAATTAATATGAGTCTACACGGATGTTGATTTGCTATGCACCCAACAATAAACGGCTCACCGAGTTTTACGCCGCATTATGTAAAAAACCTGTATTTCCAAAACTTTTTGAATGGTTTTAAATTTTTAAGTGTTGGAATACTATACAAGGAGCTATACAAAAAAAATGAATATATTTAATCACAAATTGTATCGACTGTGTGATTTTCTAGATCATTTTTCCACTTTTCAAGTCAAGTTTATAATCGGAAAAACTATTATTATTATTATTATAATTATTGCTCACACAACAAAGGACGTTATCAGAGACTGATGATAATTAGTCTGTGATTATGTGAACTCTGCAGTACCTGTAAACATATTTTTCTATTTTGCAACTTTCAGGTTTCAAATTAACTAATTTTATTATATGTACAAGAAGCTTTAAAGGCATTGTTCGGATTTAACCAGGACGTTATTTATGTATGCAGGATTTTGTAGTAAATGCCATATTATCTTATAATCTGCAGGTATAAATTAATAATGACTACCTTCCGGGAAGTTGTTGCTGTTACACATGATGTAGTTTTATTGGCGCTTCTCAAACGCAAGCTAAAACAATATTTTGATATTTATTATTAACTAACACATAATTAAGAAATTTCACACCTATCTCGATGTTTGCCATCTCGGCCTGATATGTCTGCCAACTCGAACAATCTTTAATTAAAATATGTGAATCATTTATATGAACATAAAAAATATATTAATACTACGAACAACTCTGTCCCCAGGATCCTGCAGCAAGTCTTACATTCTGATTAACTCTAAACTCAATATATTGCCATTATACAACGAGGAAAAGTGGTGTTAATGGAAGTTGGTTGCTTTGTATAATCGAGTTTGAAGGAAAGCAAGTGTATTTGTTAACAATTCAGTTTAAAATTATATCAAACTGGAAATTAATTCTTTCCAAAAATTCGGTAAATCTTTTAGTAGAATGCAGAGCAAAGCTCACAAGCTGAGTCTTCTGAAATAACACTTTTTTTATGAATTGTTGTTAATATGTGCATATTATAAATGTTAGTTTATGTTCGTCGTTGTTTAATAATTAACAGTTTAATAAGCGGAAACTTTATTACTTCCCGAATAAAAAAACAAGTTTACTATTAATTGTTTATGCTTGCAGAAATGCATGTATAAACCGCAAAACGTAGAAAAACAAACATAGTTAACTTCTTTATTTGTTAATATTATATTTTATTATTAATCTATTTCAGTTGATGATTTAAATCATTCCGCAAACGATGGTGCTATACTTAGTCCTAATCGATATCAAAGTCAATAAAAAAAACCATTGCAATTGTGTTATTAAATTGTACGCAATCAGGGTTTCAATCGGTCAAATTAAAGTCAATTCTGACCAAGGCAATGAAAATAGATTGAGTGGCGCTTACAACTTTGATTTGTCTACTTTGCATAATTCCTTGCTGCATTATGCTGATTTTATTTACATTTGTAGCAAAAAATGAAAACACCGGAGATTCATTTTGAATCAACAAACAAACCTGTACCCATATCAATTAAGAAATATTCCAATATATTTTTATCTTAATAATGTTTTAATTATCTATTAAAATGTCATTAATTTCGGGTTGTAACTCAAACATAATGGAATTTCAGGAAAGAACTAAGTTCCTGGATATATTTATATTTTTGACAAACACTAGCTGCTAATTATTATTGATTTTTGGTAGGTAAAAACAAAAGTTCAAACATCAGCTTAAAGGAAATTTTAGATGCACATTAGTGTACCTAGTATTTCAAGTTTGAACACATTTATTTCAATTCTTCAATGGAAATGGATTAAGGTTTCCACTTGTCTCTAAGAATTCTGATTATGTGAGTTGCCTTCTGTATCTACACGCCGAAAAATTTTCATTTTGATTTGAGACTTGTTTCTTTATAAATGCGATTAAAACAATCAGCAGTAGCAGTTTTTTGCCCGTATGTTTTTTTCAAAACTGAGTCTTATATAGTCCAACATTTTATTGTTTTGGTCTTATGGTCGAGGTTTTTTTGGAGTTTTTCTTCAGAAACGATTAATAGTGTAATGGAAGTTCTTGATGAGATATTGATAAACCTCAAAATAGACTTAAATGCTATCTACTAGTAATTAAAGAGGCCAGACGCCCGATGGTCTTTAAAATTATAAAATGTTGAGTTTCTTAAAAAATCGCAACATTTAAGGTATTTTAAGTGAAGCCATTATTAAATAATGCATTTCTTCTTACAAAGAAAACAATATAAACACAACTGCAAACATTTATATGAATTTCATAACTGTGGTATTTTTTTCTTGATTGAGTTGCGTAGATTTTCACATATATTGAATATTTGTGTAATTTTCTTAGTAATTGCATCAACTTTTCCATGTTATGCAGTTCAACAAAAGTTTTTATGTTTGTAACAGTTACTTCTCGGAGATGTTTCTGACATTTTATAGTATTCAAAAACAACTTCCGCGTTTGCTCATTTTCTAGATATTTCTTACCACTCCTATATTTTAAATTAATGATCATTTCAAGTAAAATTTGGTAAAAATTCTGCATCAAGGCTGTCATCGATATGAATAAATCGCTGACTTCGTATCGAGTCCTAACCGGTATCATACGCACTTTGGGGCCAATTAAAAAAAGTGTCGTGACATCGCGGAAGAAAAATCTTCTCATTAAATGGAAATTCCAGACAGATTATCATAAATTAAAAGTGGTCGCTACTCGTTTGTGGCGCCAATGGTTGTTTTATTGTCAGCTGCATGTTCAAACGGCAAAGGACGATTTTTATAAGTTATTGAGTAAATGAATTAAATTACCATTTCAATGAAAAGCTGTTCAAATGACAGCGAGACAATAACCATTTCCAAAAAAGTTGAAAAGATATTAATTAATATTTTACTTAGGTCGAATTGGAAAGGAGTGCATTGAAATCAAAAGAGTATTTCTCTCAGTTAAATTGAGCAGACGGAAAAACAAAAAAGATTACTCTTTCTGAGAAAAGTAGGAAATAGTTAAACGTCTGTGCTATTCTTTCCAATTTTTACCATTCATTAGTTAGCAAATACTCATAAAGATATTACTGGCTAAACTGAGGAAGGAAATATTGAGAGACACTACCATCAATGATGAAAAAATCCTGATATTTATCATGAAAAGCGGTTGCCAAATATTGCTCGAGTTCGAAAAACTGGTGTAATTTCTTCTTTTCGGTAATATAATTTCCGCATAGAAATAACAATTTTTAATTAACCGGGCAAATTCTGCCTTCGAGCTTGATTGCAGATGTGAAAACGCATTACAAAAATATAAAATTGCCTGCTTTGTTGTAAATATTAATATGAAAACACTTTCTATACCTACACCTTCTTGTCATTGTGTGGTCCAACGGATGCAAAAAATATGAAAATAATGCACATAATAGTTTCTTCTCTTCAGTCCCGTTATTCAATTTCGTTTTGGCCGCGATTCTAACCCGACAATCTTCTCTTTCAAAAAAAAACACCGGCTAAATTGCTTTTAATGTTGAGATCAAACAGTTTATCAACAATATTACTCAGCATTTTAACTCGTCTGGCAGACTAGACTTAATTAATTTGCAATTTAATAAAGATCATTGAACCAATTTGGTCATCAGTTGACAATGTCCTTCAGCGAAATGTTAAGGATTTAACCAATTTTTTATTGTTGCAGATATGGTGAAAGGCAAAGAAGGAACAGCGCAGTAGAGCTAACTGGCATTCAGCTTCTATCAGCTACATTTATTCAGTTGAAGAAGCCCTACCAGCAGCTGCTCATACCAATGACCATCTACATTGGTGTTGAGCAGGCTTTTATCAGTGCAGATTTCACTCAATCATATGTATCATGTGCAATGGGTAAGAACTTTTTGCTCAAAGCTTTGTCATCCAGGAAAGGATTTAATCCAAGGCTTTATTTAAAATAATTATTATTATCAATTGGCTTGACAAGGCTACATTCTTCAATCTATGATTTTTTCAGCAATAGAAAATCTTCATTTCTGCTAATAGCAAATAGCGCTATTTATTTGAAGCCAACTTTATATCAGTTAACTCTGTGTTATATGCAAATGAGCACAAATATTTTAACAATATTAGCATTGCCAAAGGGGCTATGTAAATCAACCAAACCTGCTTAGTTCGCAGAAAATCAATTGAGTATAATTCTAAATTGTCTACCAATTAATGGAAAGCAAACAGACAACTAAAAGCCCAAGTCGTACTAGATAAAACCAGTAAAGTAATGTGGAACAATCATGTACTGCCGATAAATCAATCAATTCCATCAAATTACTTACTATGCATATACCGAATGCTGCAGTAAAATTGCCAATTTAATTAACTGTTCCTTTTTTGTAATTCAAGGTGTTAACAATGTTGGATTCGTCATGATCTGCTTTGGAGTTGTCAACGCAATTTGCAGTTTGTTGTTTGGAAGTGTCATGAAATACGTTGGCCGAGTGCCCATCATGATCTTAGGAATCTCAGTTCATGCAGCAGTACAAATATTTCTGCTTCTATGGAGGCCGCATCCAGACAACCCACTACTCTTCTTCATGGCTTCTGGCCTTTGGGGAGTGGGCGATGCTGTTTGGCAAACCCAAGTCAATGGTAAGGTTCACTTTTTCCTCTTAGAGCTATGGATGTACATTAATTTATTATATATTGTGATATTGTGGTTATTTAATGGTTCATTATTCACGAATCGTAAAAATACAATGTATTTTGCAACATTTTACTGCCCTTTAATGTTTATGGCTTTCGTGTCGACACTGTTTTATTCTAAATCAGTACTTAATGTACTAAACCATAAATGTTGCTGCTTGTAAAAAACATGACCTTTATAACCAGTGTGACAAAGTTGAACATCCTTTAATGGTGCTTAATGATTCTCATGCATATCAAAAAGCAGGCAGAACATTTTCTGCGAAAAAAATACAGTGTGATTAAAACTGGTGCCACTCCTTTTAACGATTTTAAGTTTATTTTACGAAGGTAGTTGGAGGAAGGATGTTGCTTTGTTGTTGTTATTTTTTGCAAAGCAAATCGATTATGTTCAAAAAACGAAAGTCATCGACGAAGGTCACTGAAGCCGCAGCTGAATAGTTGAGAGCTGAAGTCATAGTGAAGGCAATACTGACGCTAAGAAACGTTTAAGACCCTATTTAATTTCGATATAAACAAGCTACTAACACCATGCATCGAAACCGATTTGCACTGTTTTATTAACTGTTTTAAAAGGAAAGCCTCATTTGCAGGCCCAACAAAATCATTTTCGCCAAATTTATAATTTCGCATTTTGCGAATCTCTCAGTTATTTGAAACATTTAGTTTCCTCTCCTATTTTCTCTAAATATCATCGGACAAACCCTACAGAAAAATAACGCCCATTTTAAATCACCCTGTATACCATCTTGTCCGATCAAGCCATAGGTACATACTTTCCTCTTCTGTTTCGTGTTTCTTTCCAGAGTTCTCATAATTAATATTACTGTTATTTTTCAGGTTTGTACGGTGCTCTTTTCAGGAGAAATAAGGAGGCCGCATTCTCCAACTACCGTCTATGGGAATCTGTAGGTTTTGTCGTCGCTTATGCTTATTCCACTCAGCTTTGCGCTCGTATGAAGCTGTATGTCCAGCTAGCCATCTTAGTTTTTGGTAAGTGTAACAGCCAAAAAAATACGCAAGTGTGCTTGAAGCTAATTACAAAAATATTTTACTTATTCCTTTTGAGACAACAATTTTCACATATATTTTATAGTTTTCAGAAATTTATTCAAACATGTTACGGTTATACAAGATTTGGAAATAGAAATCATATAGTTTCCATTGCAAAGTTAATAAAACCTGTCATGTACACATACAAATTCAACTGTTATATAAGTATTAAGAAGGGTATTGTATAAATAACTTCTGACTGAAATTAAATTTTAAACCGCATTCTTGTCTAGTAACTGATGAAATTGACATGCGTAAAAGATATTTCTGTATTTGTTAAGCAATTATCCTACTAGAGGTATTCAAGTAGGTACCCATTTATAAAAATAACCAATTTATTTTTCATATACTCATATTTGAATGCCATTGAATATTTTATCTTAGCCAGAAAAGCATGTTTTAAATGCATGAAAAAAAATATTAGTATGATAGAAATTGATACCGATTTACTTAAAAACGTCTTAAGTTAAGAAAATTCTAATTTAAATTAATAAAAATAATAATAAGAAGATTGATAATTATCTTAATTTTATTTCGAATTTACGCTATTTCATATTGCATTTTTATATATCTTGAAGAGTTTTTGAAAAACGTAAACAGCATAGGGGTGCATTACTTCAATAAATTTATCTAACTTTCTCGTCTGCTATATTACTCTCAAATGATTCATAAGATGTGAATAAAGTCAACAAAATATACAAATTTAGACCGAAAATAACAATAAGTAATTTGAGATTTTGCAATTAAATAGGGATATTGTTCCTTTAATGGAGTTTAATTAATGAGGTTTTAAGCGTCAGTACGAATCGAATTTAATTTTACAGCAAGCTTCATTCGGACTAAAACTATTAAAAATTAAGAATGGATTAATAAAATTTTACCTAATTTGCTTAGTCAATCATCATCAATATAACTTAGGCAAACTATTACTTGCTTTAAAAATAAACTACGTGTATGCGTGCGCTTATATAATAATATTACCTAAACAGAAGAGCTTAAACCAGTCAAAAGTATTTTATTACAAAAATTTAAAACATTTCTTAATTAAATATAATTTTGCGATTGATCAAATATACACGTATTAACATGTAAAAAAGTGTTTTCGGTAAATACCGATAGTGATATTTAATTTATATTGCCGAATTCGTGGACAAAAACTGCCTGATTTGCAGAATTTGAGAAAATATTGGATATTGTTGAAAATTCGGATCACTTTGCTGGTTTTATTAAAGAGAATTGCTTCCGTTTTTCACATAACTTAAAAACATCTATATATTGGACCCGTCTTGTTATTTCAGTTCTTACTAGTTGCTCAATTTATTTTCTTTCTATTTTGCTTCAATTAGGTAATTACTGATTTAGTTATTAATTATATTTTCAGGTTTCTTGCTATACTGCGTAGTGGAAATCCACCATATGCGCAAACTGAGAAAGCAAAAGATAAAGGAAAAGAGAGCCGCAGAATTGGCAGCCAAAAGGCAGGCAGCAATCGATCAAGAACCAGAAACGACAGATGATGAAAAGGACGACATCGACGATGAAATCATTGTAACGCATTTGTAGTAGACTTGGGGTTTATTAGGTGAGCACATAACTTCAAAAAATAAATTCCACCATAAAGAAGACATTTTAATTTATCGTGAGCTTTAAATGCAGTTCGCGGAAGATTACAAAATCGCATTCACAAGCAAAAGCGTATTATTGCTGTAGTTAATATATTTGCAATCAACTAATATTGGATATTATTGTATGTTCTATTTCTACAATTTAATGTACTTTAATAACATATAAAAATACCGACTGTATAATCATTAATAGCAAATATCGGTCCTAAATTTTAAGTCATATTGCAGATATTTTTTAACTTTAATGATCTGTTTCTGTTTCTAGGCATTCCTTATTGGGCATAGGCTTCTAATTTATTTCACAAAAAAACGAAATACGGTGGTACACTGTGTTCAAATATATTAGTGGGGCCAGTGCACGATGCAGCAAGAAAACGACATTTTCCATAGGCGGTTTCTGTCCTAGAAGATTTAGATTTATAAAGCAGTATTTTTCTTTCAGTGATTTCACTATCTCGTAGATTGTATTACTTTAGGAGCAAATTCTGTTATAGAAACAATTATTTTTTCGTAGATTATTTGCACATTGAGATGCCAGTAATATCAAGCAAAAAATACTACAGCTATTAGACTTATCAATGCATTTTTTGTTTGGTCGCACATCTCCTTGTGCAACTATATTTTTATTTTGTAAATATAGAAACGTTATTATAAGTAGGCATGTTTCCTTCCGAATTAAAAACTCAAACTAATTAAAACCTTCTTAAAAAGTATTAAAGTAAGAAAGTCAAATTTTCGGTCGGTATATTGATCTTGCAAACTACCTATACCTATATACACAAATATTTATAAATAAGTGTTTATCACTGCTACAGTCTGTGATGATCAAAATACAGGAAACGCGATACTAAAAGTTGGAAAACTAAGCATTCAACCTTTTATTTTCAAAGGGTATTTAGTTTATCCAACAAATCACTATTCGATTTCGACATATGATTACTGCAGCTCCAAGTTTTTATCGGTTGATGTTCTAAAATTATTTTGTGCCATTCTCATTTTGTGTTAATACAAAAATGCTAGTAATTTTTTGAGTTTTTAAGGATCCAATTAGCGTTGTAGAAAACCCCATTACCATTATATTGAATTAGTACTTTATAGTTGAAGGTCTATAAGTGAAAAGTGTTGAGTTGGACGCCATTCAATCTGTTTCGTCCAAAATTTTAATATCTATTGTTTGTCCTTATCAAGTCAATTTTTGTTTAATGGAAAAGCATAATTAAGTTGAAAAGGTGAGAAACTTTTATTGTTATATAGGTTTATTTATAAATATTTTATTTTATTTCCTGATATTACTTGTTATATATATTATTGAAAACTTGTACAGTAAAGTCCTTAACCTAGGTAGAAATAAAGCTATGTATATTGTTAGGATCCTACTCAAACATGTAAATTTACTAAGTACTCAGTATTCTTAGAGCAATACTGTAAATTATAATAAACATCTTGAACCGTTAGCTAGTTTTTCATTTATTGTTTTCAATATAAAGCGAGTTGGAAAATTTACAGGAATATTACAGGGTGATTCATTAACAATGGAAAATTCAGAAACTAGACATACTACAAGTAAAATAGTGACCAATGACCTAAAATACTTTATCGTTTTTTTCCCAGTTTTCTGGAAATACATGGGTTAAAGACTAAAAATAGGTGGTAGTTTTTCAGACGAAGAATCTTCGTGTTGTAATTTTCGCTTTGCTTAAATAGGGGCGCTAGTTGCGACATTTTTTGCCGGAATTTTGATTAGTAACTTATCACCCACCCATGAGTGTAATATTAAATTTATTTCAAAACTAAAGTCGGAATAATTTGTACATAATGTAAGTGTTTTTATTTCATCTAGACATTACAATTCATTTTTGAGAAAAATGCATTCAAGGATCACTAGGTCTTGTTTATAATACGCCAAAGGCTGTCTTACAAACAAAATATCATATTTTCCTCCATAAATAATAGATAAACAAACTCTTGGGCTGATAAATAACTAAATATTTTAGCAATAATTATGTATGAATAATTTTGGAAAAGCCCCGTCATTGCGAGTTTATCAATAAAATAATGAGATTCATGGCATTTTTGCACAAGAAAACTTCAATGGTCTTGTCTCAGCTCGAAGTATTATGAAATGTATCGCAATCGAAGGCAACCAAACCACTAACTATTTGGAAATATGTACAATTTCTTAGAAAAAAGAGGATCTTTCTGTCCAAAATGTAAAAACAGCGCTCCAAAAAAGGTTTTTAAAGAGTAGAAAGAGGAAGAAATGGTTATTATGTCTGAAAATTCAGCTATAAGTACTCGTCTTTTAAGTACAGCAATAAGCATAATTCAATCCACCGTTTGGAGAATTCTGAGAAAAGTGAAACTGTTTTCATTTAATTTTGCTCCTGTACAGAATTTGATGCTGCAAATTCTTCCTGGTCTCATTTACATTTTGCCCATTCTCTACAGGTATAACCAACCAAAGATTAAATTTTTTGGCGATAATTTTGTGTATCGATGATAATCATCTAGGGGTGTTAAAACTACTGATTGGTGCAGAGTTTTTTGGCATTTTTTTTGGATAGGCCATTTTAAATAAAATAAAATTAAAGTCGTTACTAAATCAGAGGGAATTCCAATAGGATGTTCAAACTCAAATGTATCTGATAAAACGCTGCGTAAAGAGTATAAGTGGGGTGAAATTGAAGAGTTAATATAAATAATAATTCCGGACTTTTCTCAATTTATTATTCGAAAGATTCCGTGATTTGTTTTATTATTAAGCCTCGAGTATTCTTAAAACTTTATTATACCTTTTACCACCCATATTTCCATAAAAAGACTTTCGGATAAGGTATGCTCATGTTAAGCACCCTGTGTAAGTAATAAGAGGGCAAACAATAATACTCACTGACCAGAAGCGAATAATTACAAGTCAAAATCACTTAAGTCAATTCAGATAATAAACCCCATCAATTCTAACTAAAAAAACATGCAGATAAGCGGTAATGGACACATTTACTCAGATAACTAATACCAACAACAAAGCTGACTATTTTCGTAAGCGTTCAAGCGCCCGGCAGTCTGGACATGGAAGAACATTTTTAATTTGGTTTTCTTTACTGTTGTCTGGAATTGGTGGTCTATAACAGTACTCGGAATGCGCATAGCTTGGCACAGGACTGTTGCTAATCCGGCCCCGATAATTTCTGTCCGTTCTAGAATAATCCATGTTTCGCCAGGCGTTGTTGTAGGACTGATTTGATGGTCCTTGTTCGAAACATCGAGACATAAACCCATCTTGAGGGTTACTGTCGGCATAACCATGAAGGCTGCAACATTTGCTGCAATACCGTGTAGATTGGGGACCGGGGGTAGGAGCCCTTAAAGCCAGGCCAGGTCGTTTATTCTTGAAATAAAAACAACCCCCTTTTTTTTCAAGTACATCATTTGCGTAACCATATTCGATCGCTGCAGATACCATTTTGTAGATCTTTGACTTCATATTATCTTCTCTGGGTCTTGGAGGATTGCTCGAAGTGTATTTACATGGATGCATCACATTGGGTTTATAGCTGTTACTCGAGGCATCATCTCTTTGCATTTTATCCATCTTCAAAGCGCTGTTTTCTCTGGCAGTTGGCTGAGGATGCGCGTTCGAGAATAAGTATCTTAACTTGTTCAAATAGAATAATACCAGATTTTCGTAACTTTCGGGTGATTTCTGCTTGTTCGCAATCGGACAAGAATTCGCCGAGATGCTATTTGGAACAGAGGTCAATCCATTTGATTTTATTTTTGGCTTGAAATGAACCAACGACTTTTTATCCAAGCTAATTTTCTCTTCTTGGCGCGTTTTTGGTGCCATTTTCACTCGCAATTTTGAGCTTATGGAAAAACGATCAATTTAAAAAGTTTGACACTTTTTCAGTTGCCAAAGTAAACAGAATTTGTAATTTTGTACAGCATACTGGTGCCAACAACAATACAAGAGGTGCAAATAGTCATTATTCAGTCAAAATGCAGTCCCAACATTTTGACACACATAAGTTTGCATTTTTCTGTTGTAAAGAACCTCCATTTCTATAAGATTCTTAAAAATCTCGGTTTTATAGTGCATACTCTTCATCGAAAGTTAGCAAAAAGTTTGTGTTAGTTTTCCTTAAAGTTTTACGGTAATTTACCTCCTTCAACTTCCGCATACCTCTCCCTAATAGCTTTCATCTATTCTTGAGCTAACTCTTTGGACTCATAAAATATGTCGCATTTTGCGATGACAAATTGTTTTCTGTGGTAATAATTATTTTCAATTTACCTGATTATTTGGTCACTTCGATAAAGCTAGCAAATTTTCATTTCTTGAGTACCGAATGTATCATTATATAAAAGAAAAAACCTAGTTGAATGACCGCATGGGAGAAATAAGTTATTTCGATCTCTAAAGCACTCCTTCAAATCATTTGAATGCCATTTTTAAATTATCTGCATCGAACATACAGTTTCCAAAACTTCAAGACGTTTAAACTAGTGCTCGGAAACTTTATTTTAAAAATTTGAAATTCGTATACTCGTTTAGTGGTTTATTCGAATAGTAAAATCATTCGAGTATCTAACGAATATTCGAATATTTGAATACTCGAGTATTCGAATATTCGAATATTTGAATAATCGAGTATTCAACTAATGAAGAAATTGTAAGTACATGATTTCAATGTGATGATCAAAAACCATGTAAATATACAGGATTTTTCACGGCCACCCCCTCTAAATTGCCAAACTGCATCATAGCATGTGTGGTACATCGAATTTCTTTACGCCTCAATTTTATGCGAATACATAAGTATTTGAATATTCGAGTAATCGAATATTCGAGTTATGACTAGACATAATTATTCGCTTTTCGAATATTCGAATACTCGAATACTCGAATGATTCTATTTTGATTACGAGGCCTAGTTTATACCCAAGGGAAAATAAATAACATCATATCAGAGAATCAAATGGGATAAGTAAATATAACCTTTTAACTGGGCTTCTAAGTATTTAAAACAATAAATCTGAAATATCACATAGAGAAAAAAACGCTATAAAACATAATAGACTTCACGACGTCTTTTACGTCTTTTCATTTCTACTATCGCCTACCACACACTTAGGCTCAAGCTGTAAGTGAAAATTTAGTAAAGAAATTAATTTAGAAGTTACATTGAAATTTGGATAGCAAATTTACTATGGTTCTCAAAAGATACCTAAAAAGGAGTATATTAATAATTGTTTAGCAGAAGCAAAATAAATACAAATCGCTCTGAGTTTTCGTTTAATTCTAACTTTTTAAACGACAAACATTTTGAGGCGTAGTACCCATCAAAAATGTTTGCAAAACATGAATCTGTCTCAATCACATAGCACTTATGGAAAGTACTTTGAGTTGATAATTGTGGATTTTCGCGAGTTTATTCTAATAAGCTGTAGTAAACTCTTAAGCCTCCATACGGCGAATTTTTTCTCACTTTATACTTTGTCTGGGAATAATATAAAGCGACTTCTCCCGGTTTCTTTTCAACTCTGTAAGTTTTTTTTCAGTTGAATGATGCCAAACTAGCAACATGTATAGAATTAAAAACAAATTAATTTGTCTAAAATTACATGTGTATCATTCATGTATAATGCATATTTACAAGCAATCGAATTCGGGTGCCATTATCACCTATTAAGTAAATTTGCTTTATTATGGATACGACTTGCTCTACTGGCTGCTAAAATTAAACCAAAAACTGAAATCCAGACGACTTCGTAGATAAATTTACTTACTACTATAGATTTGACTAAACTTAATTATTTGAAAAATAATTCATTAGTGCAATCATAAGAAACTAATATTCATAAAAATGCATTTAATCATTGCCTTTGAGAAATTTTGCTAAGAAACAATCACGTGTTGGGTCGCTTGGTTTATTAAAATACTGGGCAACACCTCGTCTTGAAATCCACTTTTCTGCTACTTCATTTAGAGCCATTTGACCCTACAAGCAACAGCAGAAACAAACACGTAGCCACAAACTACAGTTTTCTCATATAGTATGAGATTCATACCTTGATTACAAGCATATCAATAATTCTGATATCATTAATCTGAGGGTGTTTTGTGAATTCCTCCCTGAGCTTTTGTTTGCAGCGAGTTTCACTAAATTCTACATCATAATATTTTACTGAAAAATGAAACCCTGCTATAACATAACGCAAATAATTTTTAGGTAACATTGCTAGTGAAACTGATTACCCATGAAAGGAATTTGCCTAAACCAAGCTTTGTACAAGTTGAGAACTCGCCTTCTGGCTTCGTGATGGTCCAAGGACAGAATGGGTCGAACTTCTTTAAAGAATTTTTTCTTAGTTTCAGATGCCATCTTTAGCCACTGACATTGACAATAATACTTATCGTACGGGATAATTATTAACGGTGTTTTTTATATGAAAATTGATTCTTCATATTTTTCCAACCATCAGTTTAGCGTATTTTTGTACCTGGATTTACTCAATTACCAAGAAAGATGATATAATTTAGGGACATTCTGAAGATCACTTATATTTAAGATTGTCAGAAAATATGTTATGGGGTTTTGATAAAATGACAAAATCAAATCATTGCTTTTTGCCTGCACTGCTAATATATCTGACTTTAATATGACCATTAAATAAATGGTTTTCTTAGTCCTCTACCCAGAGGTAAGAAAATGAGCACTGTAGGTCAAACAGTTCTTGACTTTTATTATTAAGAACTATTTCGAAAGTGCACGTTTTCAGTCAGCAGAAGGAATGAAGCCCTGCTATAGCTCTAATGGTTCTTGAGATATACCTGGCCAAAGTAGCATCAATGTTGTTAAGTATTTTTTTGTAATTTCAGGTTTTAGCACGTGGAATCTCCATTAATTTTCATATTTGAAAGAAATGTCGTGTCTGTGTTTGTGTTAAACGAAAAAAAACTTAAAAATCACTCTGTATCTATTATTTCCATAATTTCCTAACGTCGTTATGAATCGGTTAATGAGCATTCAACAACAAGCAATTTCTTGGAAGTTACAGTATTTGCAGTGTTATTAGACAATTATATAGTTCGACAATAAAAGTTACTCATCTGCGCCGTATAATCTAATATCGCCTCTAGTCTGATTAGGCAAAGTGGGTTTTGAAAAAAGTACTCATAATAAACGAACACATAAACAAAAGCGACAAACGAAATCAATCTCGAAAATAAATGAACACTTGAAGCTGATAAGAGTTTAATAGTATGTAAAGCAAATTTCACAAGCAGCATGTGACTGTAATTGGTTTTTATATTTATAGGTGTAATATAACAAAAAAATATATATTTTACGTATAAACCAATATTTTTTTAAATCTCATTTGCAATCAGAACAGAAAAAGCAACCAATTCCTATCAATTCGGGATTCTGAATTGTCCCATGATATAGGTATAAAAAAGATAAGAGAATAGCAATAATAGAAAACAGAATGACTTAAAAAAGATAAAAGTCTGCACTAAGAACGGAGTATTTGGCCAGAGATTAAATGGAAAAACATTTTTAGCAATGCCACTATAACTTCAAAACCCAAACTAAGAAATTTGTTTATATTTAATGTGGCTATTGACTCATCAGTATCACCCACATTATTTGCATGTCTGAATGCGCAGTGTCTAGTCTTTGTTCATTCCTAAAGGGTCAAGGCCAAATCAAGTGGTAATGCATATAAGCGCGATAACAAAAATAATTAAGTAAATGTGTGGTAAAGAAGCCAATATAACATATGGATAAAGTCATAGGATACAGGATATACAGGGTGATTCAAAATTGGCGTCATTCCGCTGGAGGTGTTGTCTGGCGCTGTTATAGGAGTACAGAAAAAATAGTAAAATAAATTAATTGTTATTAAAAACTGATAAATTTGCAAAAAACTATATCAGAAATACGGCAGCAATGTTTTTCAAGGTAATCTGCCTAATTAATATTGCAGATTCCTGTTGCTTCGTAATTATTTAAAACTCCGGTAACCATGGAATTATACATAAGATAGACGAGGATAAACGGTAAATTCAACAAGATTTGTTGACGAAATGTCAACCTGTTCTCATAACCTCGAATATTGGTGTTTAAAAATAAACCATATAACACCAAACATTTGAATGGTTAACTCCAAACAAGCTAGTGCCTGTGTAATCTCCTTATTATCCACTCTTATTATCTTATTATTATCCCCATCAAGCAGCTTCTCGTATTCAGTTAATTAACTCCTGCTCTATTTGTATCTCCTTGGGCTGTGTGTATCGTACAAACGTGGTAGGAATTTAGCCCTTCGTCGGTATTTATTTGGTGGTTGGGAAAGTGTCAGTTATTTTGTTCTGAGTGCCCTTAGAAGGCTCTGATTCGA